GAAGGAAGGAAAGCAAGGAGAGGGAGGGAGGAAAAAGAGAAGGAAGGAAAAGAGAAAAGAAAGGAAGGAAAGGAGGAAGGAAGGAAAGCAAGGAGAGGGAGGGAGGAAAAAGAGAAGGAAGGAAAAGAGAAAAGAAAGGAAGGAAAGGAGGAAGGAAGGAAAGAGAGAAGGAAGGAAAGGGAGGAAGGAAGGAAAGGAGGAAGGAAGGAAAGCAAGGAGAGGGAGGGAGGAAAAAGAGAAGGAAGGAAAAGAGAAAAGAAAGGAAGGAAAGGAGGAAGGAAGGAAAGAGAGAAGGAAGGAAAAGAGAAAAAAGCAAGGAAAAGAAGGGATGAAGGAAGGAAAGGAGGAAGGAAGGAAAGAGAAAAGGAAGGAAAAGAGAAAAGAAAGCAAGGAAAAGAAGGGATGAAGGAAGGAAAGGAGGAAGGAAGGAAAGCAAGGAGAGGGAGAGAGGAAAGAGAGAAGGAAGGAAAAGAGAAAAGAAAGAAAAGAAAAGAAGATAGGAAGGAAGGGAAGGAAGAAGGGAAGGAAGGAAAGCAAGGAGAGGGAGGGAAGGAGGAAAGAGAGAAGAAAGGAAAAGAGAAAAGAAATGAACATTCCTTCTGCTGTCATATATTTGATCAATGTGATCTTGGAGGGGCATGTAAGCTATTCATACCATTTTAGATCCATCCTCCAAATATGTCAAGTAAGGAACCAACTCTCAAAACTAACCCTAATATTTCTAGAAGATTTACCAAGAGTTTCGTGAAAACTGTCTCAAAAAAACGTAAAACCCAAGAAGGAGCACAAAGCATTTTCTGGCCACAACTTACAAAGCGGATGTCTTCTGCTGTGACGTCGTGGTGGACCCTGTATCCGGTGCCATTGTCCATCGGCTCTTTCAACTCGGAGGCCCTGTTCTGGGATCGGGAGGTGTAATACCTGACGAAGAAGGTGCGCTTCACCAAGAGGTGGAGGAGGAAGCAAGAGAGCTCCAAGCCAATGGAGATGCAGAAGAAGATCATGGTGTTCTCCTTCTCATCAGACAGAAGAAGCTTGGTGAAGATGCGGCTTAAGGAGATGATGACCCCAGCAGTACCTGGAAGGAAGAGATGGAGTTGGGATTGAGTGTTAGCACTCATGGACTATGACCATTAGTAGAGTTTGTGAAGGCTTGGCTTCCTTCACAAGAGGTCAAGAGATCTTCCTGGTTGCCCAGATATCTCAGCTCCTCCATCTCTTCTGTCCAACCCATTAAATACTGTAAAAATGTATGAAGGATAGTTCCCCGTTTGATTGTTAGTGCTAGTAAACCTCAACTGAAACTATTCTAAGCAGGGTTTAAGCTCTTCACGTGTCCAGAGAGGCAAGAAGGATCATCAAGCAAGATGTTCATGAAAGGTCATGTGTTCCTTGAGGCACTATATAAAAGATCTCTTGCTACCTATCCTTCAGTGAGCAGTATTAAGCTAATACTCACTTTCTCCCGTCATCACTCCTTGAGTGTACCGCTTTGGTAGCATCCCGGTGTAACCATAGAAACTGGATTGCTGCACTTAAAAGGGGAGAGAGAGTTAAGCAAGCAAAAGAGAAGGCGAGTTATGACATCCAAGTACTAGATTTCAATTTATTAGATGTCATCTTTCATAAGGGTATTTCTTCTTCTCCACCATCTCCCTGACTCCCTTTTGGTCAAGGAGGACAACACCGTTTGTGAGTTTCAACCAAGGACACCCTCGTTCCTAGACTGGCTGGGAAAGATTCTGCTCCCGTTCCCACGCATACCTGTGCAACCAAAGGCCACCACGCCTTTGGTTGACATCCAAGTACTAGATTTCAATTTATTAGATGTCATCTTTCATAAGGGACTTCTTCTTCTCCACCATCTCCCTGACTCCCTTTTGGTCAAGGAGGACAACACCGTTTGTGAGTTTCAACCAAGGACACCCTCGTTCCTAGACTGGCTGGGAAAGATTCTGCTCCCGTTCCCACGCATACCTGTGCAACCAAAGGCCACCACGCCCACCGCCATAAGATTGACCGCATAAGCTTGGCGCTGGGAGAAGAGATCGAGCCACACGTCGCAGATGCTCACAAAGAGAAGAGGACCCAAAGCGAAGAGATAACCTGAAATGAATGAAAGAAGCATAGCATGAAAGAAAGACAAGGATGCTGCAAATTCCAGATGTTTATCCTTTGGCATATAAATTCTCCAGCATGGAGATCATTGAGCGTACGTAATATTCAGGTGACATCTCCATGGCTTCCTTCTTAAATTTCTGACTGAAACTTTGGAGGAAGACATGGAGAAGACATATAGAAGGTTCTAACCCCCGGCTACAACTTCCCTGGTGAAGGACAGAAACCAAGAAGTGAAGATGGAGAAGACAAGAAGGATTCTGAACCTACCCACGGTGATCCTGGTGTGGAGACTCAACATTTCGACCAGGACGTTGTTGAGAATGACCGCAACCAAGGCTACTAAAATGTAGGTCAGGCTCAT